CAACGATCAGCTTTTTATCTATGTAGGCCACTGACGAACTTGATACACGCCTGTCTTCCACTATCCACGATTGATGAACGATTATCGATGACATCCAGTTTCTTTTTCATCTCTTGTTTTTTGCTAGTCTGTCTTAATTGTTTTCTATCATTCTCTTGTAATCCACGATTAGCTCTTTATCTCGATAAACAATTGATTGGTCTGCGATAAACGATTGTTTTCACGAATTCTTGTTCCTATGATTGTCGATTTCCGTATCTTAGACTAAAGTCTCGGTAATAATTGGCTATATTGGTCAACGATTAACGATTGTAGCATAACGTCTTGACCACTTGTTCTACCTAGTCGCTTGTCCAGATATCCACGTTGTCTTAAGATCTCTTATACGATAATGATTTCTTGTATCTTTTGATCCAAAATAAAAAATCCGATCTCTAATTGAGCTCGATTGCGCATAAATTTTCTAATGACGAAAAGCCGTTTCTCTATGAATATTTTGGTTAATCAACAACCTGATATTTTGCTAAATATTATCAACTTAAATAACAGTTAATCGTATATCTTTATTTATAACGAATTTCTTTTAGCTACATCGATCACTTGTACGTATAACGATCTCTTGTGACGTATTCCTTTTAATTAAACGACTAATTCTATTCTTTTTCGAATTACGACCATTGATATTGACACCATGTTTCATTGACCTAATTCTTTGTCTTTGTGTCGATCGTCATTTCATACATCCCCTAATCTTTTTTCAGAGTTAATTAGACTGAATTATTGTAAAGGGCCGGTCTCCTCCGCTCTCCAGCACCAATGTAACATTTAGAAGTTTTTCTAAAGATTGAGTGATTAGAACCGTTGTCAAATAAAGAAAGGTTAGAACTAAAATGATACTAAATCAGACTAATATCCTCGATTATATATACTTTTCTATAATATTCGTCAAATAAGAAAAGTTAGAACTAAAATGATACTAAATCTTTATTAAATAATAAGATAAAAACATAATAAAAATAAATTAATATAAATTAAAATAAAAAATAAAATAAAATACAAAAAAGTTAATAATTATAAAAGATATTTTTGTATGGTAAAAATTGGCCTTTTTATACTTTTTTCAATCTTCTTTATAACTAATATTCATAACTATTCAAATATAATATTTTTATCACGCGTTATAATAATAAATCCAAAAGAATTCTTTATGCAAATTAAATATAAAGTACAAATTTAACTAATTTAAAATTTACAACACATACCATTACCGTTTTCAAATGTCTTTGTTATATTGATGCCAAAAGTTTAAAAAAATTTATGATAAGTTTTTTTAATAATAGAAAGCGATGGAGAATCGGTGCCTTATAATGAATTTTATCTTCAATAAAATCAAATTTGAAATATGGTCCCCAATCTATTTGCAATATCCTATTTTTTAGTACCTTAAATACCCAATCGCCACATTTTAAACTCGAGTCACACTAGGAGATAATTTTCGCCCTAGAAAGTTTTAGTGGTAAAAGATAAAATAAATTATTTTAAAAAAAAAATATTATTTAATAAAAAAAGGAAGAAGATAGAAAAATCTTTCTTTCCTAATAGTATTGTTAAATTTTGTAAACTTACCTAACGTTAGTCAACCATAAACCAGCGTAACCATATTTTTATTTTTTAAAAAAAATAAATATTAGAATCCATCTTCAAGCTGAGACTCAACTTAGAATCCTAATCAGTTTTTGGCTAAAAGCTTGACTCAAGCCACAATAGAGATAGTCAAAGTTAGGTAATTTAACAACTCTTTAAAAATAGTTTTTATCTTTATTAGTTTTTCTTCAAAAACTTGAAAAAGAAATAAATGTAAACGTGAAATTTTCATATATTTATAATATATTTTTAACAAAAAGGAACCCATTTGTTACCTTTCTAAAATTTATTTGTAACCATTATCATTTTTTTTAGAGATATTCGCGTTCAAGGTTATGGCGCCCAAAATAAAACATTTTTAAAAAAATTGGCTTAAAACCTTTTAGCCTTCCTAAACCATAACTATCTTAAACTTCATTTCATTTCGTTTGTTTTTTTTTTAAAAAAATAATACGTTTTTACTTAGTAAAGTTGGGCTAATTTTTTTTTTTTGATTTTTTTAAAAGAGGTTTAATTTTACGCGATTTGCATCATTACCCTTTTTCCGGATATCGTTAATTTTCATATGCCAAAAAAAAATAAATAAATATTCTAGATAAAATCCATTCCCCCACCCCATAAAAATTCCCCATCATTTATCGATATCCTACCTACACAAATGGCATTCGATTTTAAAATTAATATGGGATTCTTATGTTTCGGTAAAATTCCCATGGCTTGTGGGGCAACTAATTTTTCTAGATATTGCAAACCTAAAAAAAAACTTTTTGACTAAATTTTTAGATATTATTTCACCATTTTTCAATCGTATGGATTTTATAAAAGATGAGATTTTTATAAATCACACGTGTTGTTTTAATAGCGTGAAAATGGAGAAAAATGCAACTTTGTAATTATTTCTTACAAAATGGATAGTTGTATTTGGTAGATGCAATGCTGAGATTTGGCTCATGAGGAATATGAAATGAGCTATTTATTTGTGGGGTTTCAATATGGTTTTTTACTTAAATTTTGTTAGAACTTTCAAAATTACTAAATGTATATATGCTTTATATTTAAATATTTTCTTTGTATTTTGAAAAATTTGTTATTTAAATTTACATTTAATAATTGTGCGATAAGTAATCTTCGTATTAAGATATCATAAGATGTAAAGTAGTAACAGAAATCATATTGTTTATATATGTGGTTTGCACACTAATCCCATTATCGAGTAAGCATAATTTTGGCACTCTTTAAATGAAGCCATTATGTGGGATCATGATATGAAAGCTTTAATTCATGGTCATTGCCATAATAATCAAAATAACATCGTAAGAACTGGTTGGAAAGATATTAGTTCTCAGAGATTGTTTTATAAGTATATGGGATGAAGATATGAAAGCTATAATCGTTAATAATAATAATAATAAAATATCGTATAAGAATTAGCATTGATTTGGAATGTTTCAACTCCAACTAACATAAATATTAGGATTAAAATAACTATTTTAATTGCAATTTTAATTTTTAATTTGTGATTTAAATGTAAATGACTATTCAAATTTCCATGTAGTAATAATTGGTTGAAACCCTAATTTTAGTCAGAAATGAGAACCTTAACCAAAGTTATCAAATTTAGTTTTGTTAAACCCTATACCAGAACCTTTTTTAAAAATATTAAGGATTGAGGGTTGTTTATGGTAAGATTTTCTATTATTTAAAAAAACTTTTCGTTTTTTTTTAGAGGAATTATTTATATTTCAATTTTGTTTAGAAAGGGTTATCTATTTTAAAAAGCAATTTTTTTTTATAAAATATCATTTAAAAATTTTAAAAAACAAATATAATGTTATTTTATTTTTAAAACTTACTTATAAATAGTGAATAAACATTATTATCTTATTTACTGCTTAAAATAAATATCTTTGATTCTTGTTCAATTGGATCTCTAAAATCCCTTCGTGGTAGAGGATATGGGCCAGGCTTTGTGCAAGCTGGTGGGGAAGTCCCAAATAAATCCTGCATTTGCATGGTATGGTACTAAAAACGAAGGGCCGCTTATTGAAAAAATTGATGATTTGATAAGGTGAAAACAATTTTAGTATAATTTCTGCGTTTAGCAATGTTATGGTTACTAAAGACAACACATGGTATTTTAATAAAAACGATGATAGAAAACAATTGCCTTATATTCTTGCGCTCTCAATTGATATGGTATATTTAAGACGAAGAGTTGCGTATTGAAAGCATTAAATTTACACATTATTTGTACGTTCAAAAATCCATGAATTTAATTTTTTTTCTTGTTAAGCATTTAAATTGATAATTTTATTTTAATAACAATTGTTATTCAATATTTTTTGAATTTAACAAAATTGGTAAAATTAAATATAAATATGTTTTGTTATGATTTTCAAGTGAAAAGAAATATTAAAAAAAACAAATGATATTTGTCATAATTATTATTTTTAAACTTTCCTTTTGAAGAAAATAACTTACGTAAATGTTTGTATTTGATGATTTCGGTGAAAACATGGAGGAAGGGGGGAAGGGATTTGCACAGTTTTTGATATAGGTTCTCTTTAATATTTTTTTAGAGGAAAAAAAAGCAAAGGTTTAATGGATATTTTGGTCAAAAAAAATATTATAATTTTGATTTTGTAAAAAACGAAAAGAAAAATAACAATGCTACCCCAACACTTAAACCAAAAATAGAATGACTAGTTCCAAAATTATTAAAAATAAGTATCGAAAATAGGTTAATCCAGGGAACGGACTTATTTTTTTTTTAAACTACGGTTAAAGGTAATCAAGAAAATAAAGAAATACCTTCTAAAATAAATACATTTAAAAACTTTATATAAATTATTTAATTATGTTAGCACCGATTCACGATACTTTTAAGATTTCCGGTTTCTATATAAAAAAAAATTTAAAAAAGAGTTTTTTAGATTTGTCTCGGGTTCCGAGTGTTAATATATCTAATAATATGAAAGGGTTGCTTTTAAAATCGTATCATCTCGCAGAAAAATTTTTACGAATATTGTATATAAATATGTGATATAACTTTTTCTTTATAATTTTCTTATCTTTAATTAATTTCTTATTCTTCCGAAAATAAGTTTTTAAGTCATGTTTACCTTGAAATATGTGAACGTTTAGTTAACAATTAAATTTGTCAAATTTAAAACAAATTCTTTCAAAACAAATTTGTAGATAATTTGGTAGTTATAGGATGAGGTTGTTTTAATTATTTATTTTTGTCCGAATGTCGCTTAACAAGCCTTATGGTCATATTATATTTTTGTTAATAAGATTAATTATATTTTAAATTTAAATTTAGTTCAATATATGTTTTAATATGATTATTTATTAAAAAATTGTTTTAAATTTTGTTCGAAAATTCGATGTACATGGAAACAGTACCAAAATATCAATATCTCAAAATTTTAAAAATAGCCAAAACTTTGGAAAGCCATCTAAGGGCTCTTACTGCGTATAATATTAAATTGTTGGAAAATAATGAGTCAAATTCACATCATGCATCATCATGCCCTCACCAAGAAGAATCTTGCGCCAGTGACTCTGGCCTTAGTATTGAAAAGCCGGTAAAATTTTTCTTCGCCCACAAAATAAACTCTAAAATCCAATTTTTTTTAAATATATAAAATAAAGGATTTAAATAACTTGAGCCTCGTTTTGAAAGAGGCTTCTAGTATCATCGATGAAAGCCTGTACCAATTTTCTAATGCATCAGTTTCCCGCGAGGACTCAAAGGTTCGATTATAAATAACCTTTATATATTTTAGCGTCAATGTGTTTTTTTCAACTTCATATCATTTTTTTTTTAAAAACTGATTTTACCGGAAACGTATTTCATCATGTTTGAAATACCTACCATATAAACTTCAGACAACTTTGCCATGATCTTTTCGAATTTAATAAAATTTATATTAGATTTTCTATAAAATTTTTTTATAAATTATAAGGCCGCATTCATAGTGGATTCGATCCGACACGATTTAACAGCTGATCGATTTTTAAAATCGGTTTATGAGAATCAATTTTTCTTTATTAAAACCAATATTTCTTAGGTTATTATCATGTATAGAATTAAAGACAAAATTAATATTATTACAAAAAAATTGATCTCATAAACAGATTTTAAAAATCGATCAGCTGTTAAATCGTGTCGGATCGGATCCACTATGAATGCGGCCTAAATTACTCAAAGGTTAACTTCAAAGGAATTGCCTATGATTCATATAAGATAGGCATTCCAAACAAGGGAGAATCTATTTCCCCCTAAAATTAGATTTTTAAATTTAAAAAAAAAAACACATTTGAAAAGAACACATTGCAGGAAAAAAAACACATTGAATCAACATATTTCATAAAGTCCCATCTCTAAATCGCTTAAACTTGGGTACATTTCTTGTGTACATCGTTTGAGATGTTGTCATTTGAGTTAAAAAAAAATAATGAATTGGGTATGTTTTTAGCCTAATATAAACTAACAAGCTAATTATGAGCCTAACCTTCTTAGCCCTATTGCATTATTAATAAAAAAAAATATTTTGCACCCTTTAACATTTGAATTCGGAATTCCCTTTCTTAATTCATAATATAAGGTGATTGTTACATAAATAGACTTGTAAGTTTTTAAATTGTTTCCCAATTGCAAAAAATAGTAACCGTCAATCCATAATAAGTATTCTTTCGCTTCTGAATATAATTTATATATATATATAAATGTATTCTATAAATTTCAATACAGTCTCTTTCAAACCTGGAGTTCCTACCCGACTTAGGGTCTTCGACACCTGTTCGCGTTACGGATGACGATGCAGATGCCGTCATCCAAAAAGTAGACGAAGTTTTTAAAGAATTATATACCAGCTATTTTACCAGCGAAGAGAACTATAATCCAGAATAACCCTTCCACTACCCCCTCTTTACATTTGTTACCCTTCCTACCCATACATTATTTAACCACCGATTATTATAATTATTATTACATATTATATTTCATATATTTATCTAGTCAATAATATTTTTGTGATTTTGAAGTTTACATTTTTCTCACAATAAACGATAAATGACCCCCACCCCCTTTTCCCACAAGATAAATACGTCATAAGCATATTGATTTTACATATAAATATTTTTTAATCATATGCTATAACATAATTTAGTGAAAACCTTAATGCTTTGAAGATATTTTAGGCCCCTCCTAAAGGAAAAAGAAAGTTTATTGTCTCTAATTTTTAAGGATCCCTCCCTCATTTTAGTTTATAATTTTAAGTATTTAATGGCAAACACTTTCTTCTCGTTGGGATTGGTTATTTTCGAAAACAGAACATTAAGGGTATAGGTAAATGTACGTTCTATAAGTTATGAAAAATTTAACCTACCCTTCCTACGATAAACATTACTAACCAGAAATTATAATAAATAATATTTAAGATCAGCTGTAAAACCCTCGCATCTCCCCCCCCCTTCTATTTTTAATGAATGTTATATTAACTTGATATAAAGTAAAATCTATAATTTTTCCTATATTTATATAAAAGCTTGAACCCCCTTTCCTTTAAAATTTAGTAGTTTTATAATCTACATATAAATTTATGTCAAATTAGGAAGTATGAAAATGAACGAGTGGTAGAAACTTTACATAAGAAATGTTCCCTCCAAGTTTAGGCCTTTCAAGGCAAATTATAAAATAATAGGCAAACTGTCTTGTTTACCCTATACTGGCATCCAGCCCCGGGTCAAGAAATAATTCAATAATTACAATTCCTTTTTAGAGGCATAAACAAATAACCAATGAAGGTATATTTTATTTTAATATCAACCTTTTTTGTTCACACACTTGTTCTTTTACAAAATATATCCTTGAATTTTATAACAATATAATCATTTAAAGAAAGAAAATCTACTGAACCATCAAAAGATAGTCAACACAATTACTATATCATCTGTGGTTTTATTGTCACCCACTGACTTTTATCTTCACAAATGATATCATTAGTATATTAAACGATTAAAATACAATTTTATAAAGAATTTATGAATCAACAATGGTTGTACTAAGAAACTATGGAAAATGGCTCATAGATCCAAATAGCTGAAATAATGACCCTGCGTATGTTGGCTTATTTCAAGGCTGTAATTATCTAACCTAAAATTTTCCGATTTTTTAAAGTTTGATTCCAAATGAATCCTGAGATTGATAAGAACAATCACGATAATTTTCAAATTTGTGAGTTTTGATATTGAACTTGATTTTCTTACATATCTAGAAGATAATAGAGATCAAATAAATATGCTGGAAAGTTTTAAATGTCTTTCTATGATAAAGTCCAAATACATATGTTTGCCTTTATACTTTTTTAAAATTTTATTATTATTTTGATATCCTCTAGCCTGATTGTAACTGCCTATCTAAATTTAATAGTCAGAAGTGATCATATTGTTTTGCTTGAAAGGATCTCATGCTATTCATAACACACTTATACATAACCAATAAACAGAGGTTTGCAAGAAGTAGTTCCATTTCATTGCTGGAAAATGCATTCCAATCCTTTTGTGAGGGTTGTTGGATAATTTGCTCACTCTGTTGCATATACTGATCAATTCATTCCATATATGAGTAAAAAGGAACTTTAATAAAAGTAAGTGTATTATTTATTAAGCAATAAAAAATGGCAAAAGTGAAAAATACTTATGATGCACCTAGATTTTAATATTTCTTCCCTAACTTTAATATTTCTGTAAAACCAAAGGTTGTTCAAAAAGATGACGCATAAATTTGTAATTTCTTTTTCTAGAGGGGATACAAATTTATTTTTATGAAGTGTGAAATTTACTCATTTTTTTTTAAATTGTATTACTCTATTTCTTTATAAACCTAAAGCAATTTGTCCCTTTTGCTGACATAATATAATTATTATTTCATACTGCCCCAATTCCCATTTTCTGTAGTCATGAGCAGGGTTGCCATGTCTCCCTCCCATCAACTGGAGATTCCCGCAATTTTTAAGTTTACACGCAGACATTTTTTTTATCATCACAATGTACATCGAATCTTTTTCTCATGATATATAACAACTCCAATATAAGTGCAAACCTTACTTGTGGCAGAAAAAAAATGCGCAAGGCTATCACATAGTATCTGAATCCTGAGGTAAAATCTAGACGATTTGAAAGATGGGCATCTATATGCAATTCTAACAGATGCATCAAGGGATAATATTAAAACATTTCCCTCGATCCTTTGCTATTTCAACAAGAATAACAATATTTCAATAAAACTGTTAAAATTTTTTCCTCGGATAGTGAAAAATCCAACAATGTAGCTAGCCACATAATGGTAAATATAGCTGATTCAGGGTTATCAATGATTTGCATGTCAGCTTTCTGCGCTGCTAATGCCTCTGTAAATTTTGGCAAAAACCAAAGTTACCGAATTAGGGCAACACAATAATGAATTAATACCAATTGGCTGTATATGCCATATACTACATAATTCTTGCAAGAAGGTAATGAATGTACTATCAGTGGATGTTGAAATAATTGTGATGAAATGTTTTAACGAATTTAGTTCATCAACTAAAAGAGTTAATGAATTAAAAGAGTTGGTAAAGTGGTCTGACTTGGAATGGTGTAGTTGTTTAGATATATACCTATCCGGTGGTTATCATATAAACCTGCCATATATTGAATTTTAAAATTTTACAAACCCTTAAAAAAATACTTCTTAAATAGAAATTTTAAAAGCTGTCCTAAAATTTTAATTTGGGATTCGTTTCACATGTAGGAAATCTACTTCACACAGTTAATATTCAGTTGCAATCAGAATATTCTTTATTAAAAAAGATTCATAAAATCATGCTACAGCTCTGTTCATCTCTACAGTTAAAAATTGATAATAAATTTTATGGCGTTATTGCTAAAAATATTATATTAAAATGTTCAAATAATACTCTAATTAGTACATTTTTATTAAGACGATTTTAGAATATTTACAATCAAAATTTGTTTTTAATAACTCTATTTACAAATGTATAAATATTATGACCTTGGAACAGAAACCATCAATTGATGGTTTTTATAATTTAATAAATATATTAAAAATACCGAAAGACATTGATGTCTTGTTTGAGGAGATTGTAATTCTCTCTATTTTTTATGATTCACCAAAATACTTAGTTAGATGGTCTAAAAGCAAAGGAAAAATGGGTAGAATTTTTTCGTAATAACGATAAATCCCTATGCTTGGAAAAAATATGCGAGTATGTCTTCTCCTTACCTATTCTAATGCCTCACCCGAGCGCATTTTTAGCCTGATAAGGACTGCCTGGAAAAAGGAGAGAAATCGGATTGCTTTAACAACATTAGAGGCCGAGCTAACGGTTAAACAAATATATAATATGTCATGCCAGAAATTTTATAAATATCTCTATAACGACGGTAAATATTTAATTCTATTATTTAAATCTCTAATAAAATATAATTAAGTTTTAGCAATGGCGCCATAAAATTTATTGTCAAATATTAACTGTAAAGATAAACACATCTGCAGCATAATTTTGTGAATCTTTGTTAAGATTCTTCTGATTGCAACTACACATTAACAGCATGTAGTAGATTTCCTACATGGAAAATCATTCCTAAATATACTTCTCCCATTTATTATTTAAAAAAATTTTCAATATGCTAGGACAGCTTTTATAATCTTTATTTAAGAAATATTTTTTTAACAGTTTATAAAATTTTAAAATTCTACGATGGCGGGTATTAGGAACATATCGCATCCAACATTGTGCTGACTCAATTCTGTAAATACATTCTGTTTTTACAAAATTCACTAGCATTATCAAATCAGAAAACTGACATGCAATTTATTGATAATCTCGGGAAAAGATTTAATAGTTTTATTGAAACGATCTTAATTTTGTTGAAATAGCGGAGGATCAAGGGAAATATTAAAATATTTCCCTTATTAGATGCATCTGTTAGAATTGCATATGTATGCCCATCTTTCAAATCATCAAGAATTGACCCCCTGGATTTAGGTCCTTAAATTGATGATAGATAGCCTTGCTGATTTTTGTTCTACAAGTATAGATTTCATTTATATTAGAGTTGTTATATATTATGGGGAAAAGATTCTACCAACATTTCTCTGTGAACGTTGTACTACAAGATACAGTTTTGTGATAATTTAATGAAACATATTGACGATTATAACACTAACACCCATCCATATAAAATTATAATCTATGCAAAAATAATTAAAATATAGACAAAGCATTATTGAAATTTCTTTATTTATTCTTTTGTTATTTTAATTATTTTAGACAAAGATTATAATTTTATATGGATGGGTTTTAATTTAATCGTCAATATGTTTCATTAAATCATCACAACACTGTAAGTGATTACAATTACCACAACTGCAGTTGCATCTGTATTATTTATTTTTGAAGTACCTTATTATGTATTTAAACGTGATAAGTGATAATTAAGCGCCTATCCCTATAATGTTATGCATACACACGGTATATTTCAAATTGCGGTAGTTTTGCGGGACATTCGCAAATAATATATTTTTAATTGTAAAATTAAAATCGTTTTTTTTATAAAATTTTATCTTGTTTACATTCTTTTATATTTAAAAAAGATCGTTGGTTTTTTTTATAAATTAATATATTTTAATAAATCAAGATGTTATTTTATTTTGAAATAGTTACCGACTTTATATTTTTATAAACTAATTATAAAAAATAATAGGTGGGTAGGCCCGCAAAAAATTTTTGTTTAGCAATTTTTATATTTCTACCGCAATTTTCATATTTCTCCCGCATAATACCAAATTTCTCCCGTAACCTGAAGACTGACCCTGGTCATGATTCATGACTTCTTTGGTAAAGCTATGTTATTAATTTACAAATCGAATATTTATTCTAATATTATTCATCAATATAAATTAGGATTATTCGCTTCTCGAATAACATCTATTATTTAATTTTAAACTAATTGAAGTACCGAGATGGTTTGCTTAAATATCTCCCCCTTTTCAAGGACCTAATATAATGCTTGCCCTTATTGAAATAACTGTGCCTGCCTTAAGCATTTTAATATCGTTATATAAATTTTAATAGTAACTCAAGGGCATGGACATTAATCTTTTCTTCTTTCCATGCCACGTTCTATTTCTTAATTTTTAATCGAATTAGTCAAATTATTTTTAATTCAAGCACCGAAATATTTAGCTATTTATTGTTTGTAATAATATTTATTCATCTCGTAACTTCATCCTTTATCACGCTCATATAGTAATTTCTCTTCTGAATGCAATTTATGGCTACAACCTTTCTAGTAGAGTTATACATTTGCTCAGAATAAAATCACTAATCTCATCGTAAAATTTGAAGATATTTTAGTTTAAATTTTGGGCAGATCTTTTGAAGATTCTTTATTTAAAAATATTGTTGATCAATTATCTTCAATGATCTTCATATTTTAAAATGTTAGAGTAAATTATTATTTTTACGATATTTTTTTGAAAATTAGTTTCTACATTATAAAACATATGCAGGAATCATTTCACTTGAATTTAATACCCCACATTTAATCGATATTATAATAGGTGTATTTTTAATATTCGTACTGATCGAATTAATTGCATCAAAGTTTATTATTTTTATAAATAAAATAAAAGCAGAAAAAAGTAAAGAAAATCAGAAGAAAACAGGGTATATAAAAAAGATTACATCCATCTAATGTGGAATGAATGAGATTATTAATATTTTATATATTCTTCATAGTTAAAATAGAGGGTGTTATACCATTAACTGTTATTCAATTATATAAAGCATTGATTGATGCATTTTATAAAAATATTAAGATTATTATATCCTCTAACTGTCAAATATTCGTAAAATGACATTTAAGCTAATATTCTTTAACCAATTCCATATAATAGAGAATTATTTTAAAAAAATTAAATAAATTCCTCATTAATAAAAGGTCTCTTGGATATTATAGATTAAAAGTAAAAATTAACTAAATATTTAATCTTATTATTATAGATATTTTTTCATTGCTTGGTTATTTTGATATAAATTTTATTTCAATATTTCTGCATAATGGTTAAAACATTTTGTAATCTTGAATATATTTCAATATTTTATAAATCTTGCAGAAGAATAATTTAATGGCGATTATTTTGACAAAATTACTTTTATTTTCACTGCATTTATTTCTTTTTATAAAGTCAACAAAATACATGGCTGTTACATTATAGGAATTAATAAATTAAAATATTTTGGTTATTGAATAGTAATATGTTTTAATTTATATAACGTACATTCATTATGTTTATTCAAATTATATTTTTATTTTTATTACAATTTTATTTTATATGTTAACTTTTTAATATTGTATTCTAATTTTAGTTTATAAAAATATATATATAGCTGGTTATTATTCGGTAAAAGTTAGATATATTAAATAAAATAAATTATTTATTATAGGCTCACCATCATGGCTAAAGACTAGTTTATATATATTTATTTATTTAATGAAAACCATAAATACATATAAATTTATTTTTACATTTATATTACATTAATTAATAATTACAAACGTAAATTGCAATAATTATCAACTATAACTCTAAAGAAATTTTTAAAATATAAAATAAAATTATAATTATTTCTATAATTACGATGCTTTTCTTTAATTCTAATTTTCACCGGATTTAGGCTGCATTCAAGTTGTAGACGGATCCGTTTTTTACATCCGTTCCGTCAAAAGTCAATCTCATTAAAAATGATATATATTGATTTTCATTTTTAAAAAATTATAAGTAACGTTATAACGCTCTATAAAATTTGCCGGATCCGTTTTTAAGACGGGAGATATGGAACGGACGCACTTTGAACATATATATCATTTTTAATGAGATTGACCTTTGACGAAACGGATGTAAAACCCTTCTACTTTGAATGCAGCCTTGATTAATAAATTTTTTCATTACACCAATCTTAATTTAAAAATATGAATTTATAATAACTATCATTAGTTAAATTTAAAAATAAAAATCTTTTATATGAAAGTTCCTCTTGATGTTACATGTCAAAGAATAGAAATTTTAAATACCGGCCCGTTAAGAATATTTGCATAAGGTGCCTTGTCCATTCTACTATATTTATTTCTCCTGCCATTATAATTATTTCAAAAAATTTCCAGGGTTAGCCTTTAAACTTTTAAAAAGTAAAAAGCGGCCTAATAAAATTTTAAGAGAAGTCAGCATTGAGCAATTAAATGATTTTTTTTATGAACTTGCCAACGTTCTTAATATCGATATCTATTAAATTTATTTTACAAATGTCATTTAAGGCTCTTTTATCTCTACTTTATCGCCAAATTAATTGTGTTTGATATCTCTAATTGTCTATTTATGATAGGATCCCTTCATAAATAACCTGTTTATTTTATTGTGAATTTACCATATATATTATATATTAAATATTTTATTTAGAAACCTTAAAATGCAAAGAAATAAAGATTGATATTAATTTTCAAATAGTATTCATCAAAATGAAAATATTAGCTAGAAATTCAAAAAATTATATCTAAATCTTAATGTTCGGAATGGCCATTATAATTTTATGAAATATCGAGGTATTTGTATTAATTTCTAGCTTGGCCAGGTGATTATCCCTAAGGGAAATACGGTTGACTATAGAACACCCAACTAATTGTGACATAGTTACTACTTTTCAATTAACGCTTTGTAACATATATGCTCTATAAATCTGGCATTACCGTTTCCATTAAAAGTATTTTAAAGTAGCCAATGTAGTACTCATAAATAACACGCAGGCTTTAAGAAAGGCATAACTTGAAATACAGAATAATTTTGGGAATGCCCTTTAAAAATTTGAAAATACTATTTAGAAAAAATTCTCACAATATTGGTATTGTTGCTAAGTGCTTCCATATTCTACAATAAATAGAATTAGAAGTATTCCGGTCATATGTAATTTTTACACAAGAGTAAATGCCCCTTAAAAAATTTTTAAATGTTTTTTCATACATATATTTTTATTAAGTTTTAATTTTTATACTTTATATATATATATATAGCTCAGCTATGATCTATGTATAAGGCTCAACATTCCCTTTTCATTACCATATAAATGCAGAAAATGTCATGCTGATGATAACAATATGGCGCTAGATCTTTTACATTGCAATCATAATCCCGATCGGCAAACTTTACACTTGAAGTGCAATCAAATAATATATCTCTCAGGTCAGCTTGTTTTCCTACTTCATTGAAGCCGTGTATTCTCTTTTCCAATGGTAGGCGTACTGATGCAGTCTCACGAATCCCATGGTCTCAAGGAAAGTTTCTAATATTGGATTTCTCTTGTCTGTACATTAATTCCCCATCGAATTTTAACAAGAACGCTCTGAACATAGCTCTAAATTTTAAGATTGGCAAATACAGCTCGTATTCCTCTAATTACATATTCATACCCATCATTTGCTCCACCTTAACTACATATGATGATTTGGCTAAAAACATTTTTAAAGACATTGGTCGCCTAATCAGAAAAAATTATGGGGGCCTCGCGAAAGCTTTTACTTAAGGCAGAGGATCGCTATAGCCATTCTTAAGTCTAATTATGTTTATTTTATTAATTCGATCTCTCCTGATGAATAGGTGAAGGAGGTTTTGAATAATTGTGCTGCTCTCGCTCTTATTTATTTTGTATTTTACATTATTTTATGAATTATGCTCAATATTGTCCTTTTGTTATTATTATTTTTTTTTCGAAATCCTTTACTAATTATATACATATGAGATATAATTATTAAAATAAAATATAAACAAAATATATTATGTCATATCAAAATATTTAAATATAAATAAAACAAATTATTTTATATTAATGTTTTAAATTTTAAACTAATTGAAATTTTAATATAAAAAAAATATTAAGACTTATAGATTTATATCTAATATATAATTTCTTTTGTCATCTTTAATTCATTTTATATTATAATATATGATATTAAAATTATAAATTTTTTGGAGTATTATTAAATAAGTATAACTCCCAACTTTAAAATACATCAAAAACTATAAATATAAATAATAAATAGGGTTCACCTACATTTTTTGTATATTATATATATAATATATACGATAAAATATTGAATAAATTCAAATATTTATTAACTATTTTCCATCGGGTATCATTAAAAACATAAAGAAAAATAAATAATTTTTATTGGTCAATACATCAAAGCGTCAAATTCAAATGCCTTCTAAATATTAAAATTCTAAAAATGAAATCTGCTATGTAAGTGAAAGATTTTAAAATAATATAATATATATATATATTTTAATTGTATCAATACCTACCTTTTAGAAAAAATATTAAATCCATAAGGAAAGGGTTTAATAACAAGAATTTAGACAACAAAGATCCTGTAGAAGTAAAGTTAAGATTCTATATAATTACATAGCCTTAATATAGGTATATTGTCGAATTAAGCCTCCTTCAACCGATGATATTTGTTGTCAATATATTGATGAGAAAAAAATATTGCTATATCCTCCAGAAAATATTCAGAATATAAGAAATGTCAATATTAAAGAGGTTTAATATAATCATTTTAAATTTATGAAATATAACAGAATATTTATTATACAAAGTATAAATAAACGTTTTCTGAATTTAATCTCTCCCTACTATGAAATTATTGTAATAGGATTGTAAATCTATATTTAATCAAATATATTTAACCCAAAATTATGAATCAGAATCCTTAAAACTTGGACAAATATAGGAAACAGAACCTCGAACTCCATATTTTTTAAATTTTCCAAATTTGAACAAATGTATACATGTTCAAAATGCTGTGTGCTTTATTTGAGAGAATTTAGTGTTTATTGCAGGAACGGGGTTGGCAGGTCTACCCAATTTTTTTTTAAAGTGCACTAAATCAACTAGTACAATTCTATCATATTTTGAAATTTCTCAAACACCAAAAAAATTCCCACAAATTCTAAAAATAAATTCATAATTCATGTTTTTGATATAAATATTTCATGTAAAAGAGAAATTTTAAAAATCAAAAAATTCAATTCCTTCTTTTTATTAGATCCCCTATTCTTAAATTTAATATGTTTTATCTGATAACTAATAAAAATACTGGTACAAATTTTAAAATTATAAAACAATCACCAATAAAAACTTAATAACCCTTCACTACAAATCTTATAAACAAGTCACTTTAATATTGAAATTATAAAAATTAAGACAATATAAAATTTTAAATAATTTTAGAACCAATTGAGCTTTAGACAAACACTTCAAATTTGATGGGCAAAATGTGCAAATAGTACAAATAGATTAGGGAAAATTTCCCCTTACTTCTAATGAGTTTTCCCCTAATATACTGGTATAGAGGATATCAAAGAAAAAATACATATTTTTTGATTATCATTTGTAATTTTTACCAACAAGCTGTTCTAATTCATGAAGATAAGAGAATTTTTATGGGAAAATATTTTTTAATAAGAATAAATAATAGGAAGAAAATTATTATTTAAAGCTTGCCTAAATATACAAATTTAATTCTTGCCAAATACACTTTGTAATATTTACTAATATACGTAGTATACCAGGGTTAGGTAAAAATTCTCTCAATTTTAAAAAAATATATGAAAAACAAATTTGTAATTAGTCTTATTTTTATAAAAATCTGCCACCATCAAAAAAAAATTATTTGACAACCCTATGGCTGTGATCACTCTAACAAATATTGGTTTATTTAAACAAAAAAGAGACTTTTGAAACTGATTTGATGCTTATTAAAATTATTTAAAGAGAACTTTTTATTTAAATTTTAACACCTTTTCCTAAAATATAATACCATATATACAATTATTGATTTCAAGATTTTATTTGTCAAATTATCTATAGAAATAATAAATTTTATGGTTGAGAAAATTTCTATTATGCTAACAACAATATACAGAAATATCTTTTAATCCAATTTGATTGTTAGTATTCTTTCATGGAATTAGGATATCAAAAAGTTCAAACGTTTTTAGTAGGTTAAGGTTTTAGTTACAATAATTATTTTAATGGTTCATGTTTGGATTAGATTCTATAAATAATATTCCTTAAAGCTGTGTTAATGGTTTTGTTCAGGTTTGATTTTTGTTTAAAATTGTAGGAATCAAAACCACTTTTTAAAAAATATTTTGGAACCAAAACTTTTTTAAAAATCTAGGCTCTAATCTTCTAAATTTCACACTTAATATTTATCATTTGGTTAGCAATCATATCCAAAGGGCTTTATACATATATATTTTCAAAATTAAATTACAAAAATAATATTTTTTGGTTATAAAATTTTCTTCTTTCAGTCAGAATATACCTTCACCAAAGTGTTCCCACCAGAAGCTAAACAAAAAACGGTGTTTAGAAGTGTAGCAAAGCCACTAGTACAAGACTTATTAAATGGGAAAAATGGTAATATTTCTAATAGTATTTTTATTTTCCTATTTAAACAAACAGTAGATAAATATTTATGTACACGTTATACTTTAATCACATCTAATTTAATACCATTTTTATTTATTTTTAGTATACATCAGAGATCTGCAAAGTCAGCTTGGTCAATTTGAAAGTTAAAATTATTTTGCCAAAGTTTGCAAGCTGGAATATCTTTTTAATTGTCTGCCCAAGCCTGATAAAATACTAACTCCTTACCCCAGCCTGTTAAAATTTTGAAAAAAGTTCACCTTGGTTTTTTAGTTTTCTGTATAAATTTTCTGTCTATCATATTTATAATCTATATTTAATTGTTTCCACTTCTCAATCAAGGCTCTTATATCTCTACTCTATGAATATCTACTTCTCTAACAACAGTTTTAGAAATCAATTGTGTTTTGACAACCGTATTAATTTGGAATTGGATCATATCACATATAACTTTTTAATTTTTTTTTTGTGTATTTATTATTTTATTTGTAGATTTATTTTAGCTTAAAATGCAAAGAAACAAGCATATTATTTTAAAGGAATATTATATTCAAAATAGTAGTTTTGAAATTCAAAATTATATCACAAACTAAATGCCCAGCTGGGTACATTAAAATTTATTAAATTTCTGGCCCATCCTATAATTTACTATAAAATAGGTATAATACTTATAAGATATAATTTAGTTAAGCACTTCTTTAAAGCTATGTTCCAAAAAAAAATCAGATTTGCAAAATTTTGAACCTATATCGAAAAAGAAGAGATAAGCTTTTTTAAATATAAAATTAAAAACATGTCCAAAATATAAACCTAGAAAATTACAAAAATTTTCGAATTTTTATTGGAGATAAAAATATAATTTCAAAAAATATTTTAAATCCCGCCAGCTCACTCAAATGTATAAAAATATTTTTACTCGCCTGCCCTGTAGAACCTCTAGGACAGATAATGACCAAATTCAAAAAGTGCTTTTCCATTCTTTAAATTATTTTCTTTCTAACCTAAAATATTTCTTTCCATTCAGGTGCTAAATCTTTTTTTTTGATCTGCCACACGCCCCACTTTATGGTCGCGTCATCCGCTAAATGTATTTATGTTCCGCGGAAAATAACAAGAGTAAATGTCGGGCTAAAGTGTTTAAAATCCCTCCAAAAATCATAAAATTTTATAAGACGTAAATTTTTTAGAAATTTTAAATTGATGTTTATATTTTATATAATATTAGCTGGAAATTATATTCATATTTAATCAAATTTCTGATATTTTATTGAAAATTGACTATGATTGTGAACTAACTATATTCCCAACTATTCTATTAGGACATAGAGTAATGAATATTCTTAGCTAATGTGACAATTCCAGTGTTTATTTTTAATTTAACTCATACTGACGGCATCTAAATAAATTAACGAATAATTTCTGATATGGCTGTAATTGCAACTAAGAAAAAAAATCAATAACTATTTAGCGCTACAAATATATTCAACAGATTAACGAATAAAGTGAAGAAGCTTAAAATTCTTTATTACAGATATGTATGTTGTCGAATGGTAAAATCTTGCGAGGAACGTAATTAGTTCCTGCGAATTTTCTAGCCCTTGAAAACTTTATCTAATATATTATCCGCTAATTTTAAAAATATTTTATAAGTTGAATTACCCGAAGCATATCTTGCTTGGCAACATCTACTGTGTGTCATGTTCATTTAGATAATATGATTTCAAGATGAATTAAGTAAATGATAATCAACTTATTAGCACCACTAATGAATATGATGAGAATCTTCGCCAAGTGTTCTCATCTGACACACAAAGTCAACTTGAAAAAATATAGTCACTAAATTAAATTTCAAGGAAATGTAACTAAAGACTCATTTATGAGGGAAAGCATTATTTTAAAAATTCGCCGCGAATTCGCACTAACTGTGAATGCAGGGTTATGATAAAATTTGAAAAACAAATGTTGCCACGTATATTTAAAAAATTATGATAAAATTTGAAAAACAAATGTTGCCACGTATATTTAAAAAATTATTAAACGCTACGAAGAATTAGCCATGATTTCGATAGCGTTAGATAAAGCAACGCTTGAACATAACCTACTATAAATGAGGCTTTACTGTTAATTAAAATAAATCGTTGAATAGATATATTAAAAATTTTATCTAATTTATTTATATATTGACTTGTAAAAAAAAATATGACTACTATTAAAATGTATATTGATAGATATGTAGTTTATGATTGGAAATTATATTAAAAATTTTATCTAATTTATTTATATATTGACTTGTAAAAAAAAATATGACTACTATTAAAATGTATATTGATAGATATGTAGTTTATGATTGGAAATTTAATTAAAGTTCTATAAATTAGAAATTTTTTTCTCACAAACACGTTCATACCGACTTAGAAAATATGGCAGGTCTACCCACAGCTAGGGTCAATTATGTAGAGGCTCTTCCTCGCGTAATTATGTCGTTTTTTACAAGGGTATCAACAAGCCTTGTTACTCATTAAAGTAAATTACTTTATGAAGGGTGGCCTCTAAGAAACTTATCCTATTTCATTGTTTATTTTTTTTATTATAACCTCTACTCCCGAATATCCACAACAGTAAAGAAATAATTTGAGCAAAATTTAGGTAATCAAGGAGAATATCAATGCACTGAATTTCTACATTATAATTCCAGAAATTTATTTTACCTTAAATTATTTAACTATATCGTCTGTTATAATGAGCAAAAATTGAGCGCGTGCGCTTAAGAGAATTGGTTTTTTATAAATTATATTATCGTCTGCCTTTTTAATCCATTATAAATATTCCATTTTAAAATGATAGACTATTTTTTATAAAATTAAATTTACATAAAAATAAATTACTAGGCACGGATTTTTAGTGCCCCCCCCCCCCCCCATTATTGTATTCCTACAAAAAAAATTGAGTTAAAGAACTGTTAACAATTTTACTTACTGAGACATTTTATCATATCGTCTGTTATGCAAGATTTTATTAATATTTATTTAAATTAATGTAGATAGATAGAGGGTTAATCTTAAATATCAATTAATTTTTAATCTGAGTTCTAACTATTTAATCATTTTTTTAAATTTATTCCCCCACTTGGTTTCAAAGCAGGATTTTCTGGGTTGTTTCATATGCTTCTTCTTAAAAAAAAATTCTCGAATTATTTTTCCGTTGTTAGCAATTACGTTAAATCTTTGCCACGTCGTTCTTATTTCTCTTAACTTATTTTTGTACTTATTATAAAGGTTCTTAATTATACCTTCCACCCAAAACGACTTTGAATGGCCGTCCTAAAACAAACCCATATGACTTCCTTTACTTGTTAAAAAAGATAAAATAAAACAACTCATGTTTTCCATATTTTGTATTAACTACTGAAGCCCAAAAGAATTTAATGTTTTCATATTTTGTGTTTTTTTTTAAATAAAAAACAACTATGTTTTCTAAATTTTGTATAACTACTGAAGCCCAAAAGAATTTCATGGTTTCAGATTTTGTTGTTTTTTAAAAAAAAATAAAAGACAGCTGTTTTCCCATTTTTAAATATGAATTGTCTTATCCTTGCCTTTCGAGTGGGGAGGGGATAATAGCCTAAAATTTCAAAACTAACATTTTCTCACAAAAAACGACATTTTTTAGAAAAAAATTGAGTTTTTTTCCCCTTGTAATCATTTCAAAAATAATTTTTTAAGTTACCATTCACACGGAGGTTATAGGTTGTTCCCCGAGATAAATTAGTAGTGTTTTACTAAAAAAAACCCATGTTTAAAAATGGCTCCGATTAAGATTTTAGCCAAAATAATATCTTGTAAGCCTATGGCAGATAGGTTTTGAACCTCTAATTATACCAAATCTCAAGATTTACATAATTTTATATTGGCTAAAATCATAATCGGGCCGTTTTTAGGAGTCGACCCAAATCGGCCTTCTTAACAACACTAGTAGTAATCAATGTATCGCGAATGATTGGAATCCATAAGATTTTTCGGTATTCTTTATTGATCCTAAATAAAACGTTGAAACCCCTTTTAAGGGATTGCCTTACCTATTAATGAGGCTATTTATTTTAATTGATTGGTGTCGGATTTAAACTAGGGATACGTCGATCCGATCATATAAATAAGATACCCCCCAAGGGCCAACACTTAATTTTTTTTTAAAGTATCCGAGTAGGGCCAAAAATTCTTTTTTAAAAAAAAATAACCGGGCCGGACCGGATATTTTAAGACCAAATATTTTAAATCGCCATTATTAACTAAAAAAATTGATAATAATCCGAGCCGCGCCTGAAAAATAATAGTACCTTTGCAGGTCTATGATATAAATATTGTTTCCGTCAAATCAATTATACACATAAAATGTTACGAAAAACGACAAATATAATGGAGGAAATAAATTATATTTATCATTTACGTTTTTTTTAAGGTTTGGTGTTCGCGTATGGCGTTACGGGGTCCGGCAAAACCTACACCATGAACGGGAAATCCAACGATGAGGGGATCTTGGTTAGGTGCCTCGAAACGGCTTTCGATAATTTGAAGGATCTTCAAACGGAAAGATTCGTAAAATCATCACCATTTTTTTATGGAGGAGGATGGGCCAGAGAGATAAGATAGACCTCTTTGCCTCTAGGTACGTAAGATTAAGTAGTGGCTAAACAGGTGGTGTAGTTTGACCAAGAAGCATTTTTCCTTTCAGCACCATTATATATTCTTAAAAATTTTTTAGGTTTTCAAGCCTGACAAAAATAACGGCTACGATATTTTATCCCCGTCAGAAGTCCTCTACGAGAGGAACAAAGCCTTGCAATACTCCTCTTCCAATTACAATAGCCTCCCTAAATTGCCCCTGGCGACTCCTAGAAGGTTTATTTATACACACGCAAGGAAAAATAAAAATTTTAAGGGGGAAATGGGAGATTGGAAAAATAATGGATTTTATTTTATCGCCTTTCTTTTTTTTCCCCACTACCAGAGCTATAAGGGAAGAATTCTTTACTTGCCTTTCGCCCAACACCACGATGCTGCAGGAGGTTTGCGAGGATAACGCCTACGCCATTTTCGTATCCTTCGTGGAGATTTATAACAACTACATTTACGATTTACTGGAGGACATTAGCTTGGACCAGATTAACATGAAGTACGGGTCACGTGATATATTTTATGTTTTTATCATTCATATTAAATGAAGGGAATCTACTATTTGATAGGCGTTCTTCTTTGTCATAGTCACATGATCTCTTAAGTTTGATTTTAAATACGTGACCCTTTATTTTAAATTTTGGTTAGGAAAAATTTGGATATTGACAACCTTCGTTTTATATTATATAATTTTTTTGAATTAAGAACCCAAATATCTAAGACTTTGAGGGAAGATTCAAATCACTCAATTTATGTTAGTGGCTGTACAGAAGTTGAAGTAAAAAGCACGGAAGAGGCTTTAGAAGTTTGGTTTTTTTATATATATTAATTTTTTTCTCTCTCTTTTGATATATCTTTTTTGGCCGCACATCGTTGATAATGTCACGTGGTAATCATTGTTGCAGACTTTTACAGTCACTATATTTTCTGATGAAAGTGACTGCTCTCTTTATAATTCACTTGTAAAACGTATTAAAACGTTATAACTGATAAAAGTCTGTAAAGACAGGACCCGCTCAACCCTAAAATAATAATCTTTATTTTACGAAATATAATATTAATTATGCTGCTTTTAACGACGGGGGGTTTGTTTGTCCTCCAATAAGTGGTTTATATCAGGGATATCAACCTGAACCCGGATTCAGAAATTGGAAATTGTTTGGTTGGGCATTTTGAGACCTCAACAAAGACCAATTTATGGACAACGCATCGAACCCGGGGTAAAATGGACCCGGGGAGGGTTCGAACCTCTTTGGTTTATATTACTGAAATGAGTAGTCGAAAAATTTAAATCATAAACAAAAAACCCGATTTCGGTTTACGATTTGTTTGTTTTTTATGATATTTCAAAAAAATTTATTTTTCTCTCAAAACAGTTTTTCCTTAAAAAAATAATAACTTCTTAAATGGCGGGATAAAAATAAAAGGTCCTGTATAAGGGCATCAAAAAGAAACGCATGGCGTGCACGCATCTAAATACGGAGAGTTCGCGGTCTCACTCGGTCTTCAATATAAGATTGGTTCAAGCCCCACTGGACCCCACCGGGGAATACGCTATAGAGGTATGCATTTTTATTTCATTTTTTTTTTCGTGGAAAGAAGAGAAGGAAAGAAAGAAGTTGTTTCCTTTTTTAAAAAAAAATTAAACCAATATCGAATAATCCATCATATTTTGTGACTCCTATCATCCCATATTGTTCCGTTCACGTGATTGACTTTGGGCGCACTATTTTGTTTGGTTCATTTCCTGTGGGCCTTCCGTTACGTTTTATATGCACAGTTACATTTTTTAAACTAATTTTTAAAAAATATCCCTCCCAAAATGATATAGATAGGTGGTAATATCGGTATATTGATACCCGTTTTATCTGGATAGGGGATTGAATAGCCCTATAAAAAGCGATATCGATTTTTATTACCAATAATATTAAAAAGATTATGTATTACATATTCTTTCCTAAAATTTGTCTTCCCAAAAATAAAAATAACTAAATAGGACAAATCGAAAATATGCATGAGTCAACTCGCTTTGGTGGATTTAGCCGGGAGCGAAAGAACAAACAGAACTAATAATGTAGGGGATAGGCTTAGGGAAGCAGGTTAGCCATTATCATATTTTATATGCATTACTTAAAACTTTAATCAGCTGATCCTAAAATTGCCTAAATGGCATTCATACCAGTATTTTAATATTATAAATAAAACAAATATTTTTCAAAAAATTTATAAGGTAATTGTTATTATTTATTATGTTTCATATTATTTTTGCTAAAATCAGTTTTCTAAAAAAAAATAAATACTGATTATTTAATACAATAAATAACGAGTAAATTGTATTTTTTAAATACAAATTATGAATCCAGGAAACATCAATTCTTCACTTATGGTGCTGAGGAATTGTCTCGAAATTCTACGTGAAAATCAGAATTTGTTGATGAAGGAATCCTCTAAGGAGACTCCCAATGGGCAAACATACAGGATGGTTCCTTACAGGGACTCGAAGCTGACACATCTCTTTAAGAACTATTTTGAGGGTCGCGGCAAAGTGCGCATGGTAGTTTGCTTGAACCCCGATGGGAAAGATTTCGAAGAAAATATGGTTAGCTATTTTTTTTGGTTTGTCTTGGGGGCGGGGAATATAGTATAGTCAAAAAAATCGAGAAAGGGATAAAAAAATAGACATAAAAATAATCTTAAATAGGAATATAATAGGTTTATCTCATAATAAAATATAAAGTATTCAAAGTATTTTGATCAATTTTTGATGTGTACCCCTATTTATATATCATCTGACTAAATGTGTCGTAATAGCTGATATGACGTCCAGGTGAAAGATCTTATTGACAGATTTTCCTTGAGATCGTCTTGATTGAATATTCTTATATTCTTGAGTGATTGATTCGAGGATTATTGAAATCTTTCTGTATTGTTACCCCAATGAGTATTGGGGTCCGATATTTGATTAATTTTTAACCCAGTCCCAACAAATAATTTTGCATGAATTGTCTAGCCTAACCCTTAATAATTTTTTATGAAGAAAAAGGGCATAAATTGGCCCAATTAATTAGGCCTAGCCTGTAAAAATATTTTGCACAATTTTTTAAAGTCCAAAAATCTTTTGGCATATGGGCTCAGATTATTGGGGCCGGTTCATGCCGAGCTCTACTCTGTATTAGTATTATTCATAAACATTTCTCAAACCCATTCTTTAACGCGAGAACGCCAAATACTTAGAATTTTTTTTTCCAAAATTGATTGGATCTAACTTTATAAGTATAAGGTTTATAAACTTTGAATATCGACATATGAAATCAATCCCCCCCCCCTCATTGGCTCTCAAGCCCATTCTTCAACGGGAGATCGCAAAATACTTTTTTACAATAAAAAATCCAATTATAATAAGCGGAAATGGATAAACTTTAATTAAGATAAGGAATCAACTGACTTAACTACCCGAAGGAAGATGAAATAAATTTTTAAGAAGGAACGAAAAGGAAAGATATATTATATATAATTACAATTATGAATCTCGAAAATAGACCTTTTATTTCTAATATACCATACGTTGTACACTAAATATATACATAGCAAGTAGCGAGGTTTGCTGAACTGACCCAAGAAGTCCAAGTGAGCCGAGCCCTGCCTATCTCTATCGACACAGGGCTTACCCCTGGTCGGGGCAAACTGGCCAAGACCCGGCTTAAATGGGATAATTACGATATTCTCAACGAGTATATGGAGGAAGGCGAGAAGGAACCTGAAATGGAGGACGACTGCGAATATAAAATAGCCACACCAGCTACAACGCCTCCCCCGGAGTTTGACCTAGGTCCTAACTTGCCCAGCCTGGAGGTATTATCATATTCTTATCCTAAAAAAATCTCTCATTTTGGTCTTCTTTTGAAACCTGACCAATTTTGAGTGATTCTCTTACACTATCTATATTTATTTTTTTGTTTTTCAAAACTATCCGAAAATTTTTAAAAAAGTTGATTGGCAGGGATCTCAATATGATAAACGCTTTGCGGAATACGTTGATCCAAAAGAAGGAAAGCGTATCAGCCTTCCACCGCTTGACGTTAGCGAATTTTTCCAATTTACAGGGAGGTATGGGCGAGAAAGAATTGAACAAATTAAAAAAAGTAAAATAATTTGTTAATTAGAGATGGATAAAATTATTAGAAAGAGAAAGAAAGGGAATAAATATAATTTAAATATATGGCTAAGTGAACGTTTTCACCGTTTAATTTATTTTTTAAATTATGAAATGAGAATTCTATTCTGAAAAGTACTTAGGACACCTTATATTTTATTTTTTATACCATTAAATTCATCATAAATCTTAGTCTAAGGTTGCCTAAATGCATTTTTATTATTCTTCCTTTTTTTTAGTCTGAAAATCGAATTTTATTTCAGCTGCCTAGAATTCTAAAAGGGAGTCAAATCAGATGAGTCAGAACTCGGCTTATTATTTATTTAATATAAAATTATTATCACGATGTTTTAAAAAAGGGGTTCGAGGAAGCCAAAGCCGTGATTCTAGAATTGGATCAGCAGAACATTTCCCTGCAGTCCAGAGTACAAGATCTCCAAAAATTGAATACCGGTTTGAGCCGGAAGTTGACTTGTTTGGATAAATCTCACAAGAATTTCGAAACCATCTTGGACGAAAACGAATTGGCCAGGAAGAAAATGGAAAAAGACATGGTAAAACACCCTTCTTTATTAATTACCTCATTCCACTAGGAGGGGTAAATACATAGCCTAGGTTAAATGATTTCTAAAAGAAATGTCTTAGCTGAACATTGCCCCTTTCTTTTCGGCCACGTTAAGAAGTTTTTTTTATGATATAACTTAACTATAGTAACTTGGGAACCGACAATCCTAAGAAATATAAACCTAAAGCTAACATTTATATAATAAATAGGAACGGCAGATGAAAGCTAAAGAGATCGAAATGGAAAATTTGCTATGGGCTAAGAACGAGAAATTGAGGCACCTGAAGCAAATAGTTCAAGATGACGATAAAATGTGGCAAGTAAAGAAGGAGGTAGTTGAAGGTGGCGACTACGAAGCTCAGAGCGACGTTGAAGATGATCAACACGGTCCTAGGGTAAAGCGTTCAGCCGCATGCGAGAACGTTTTACAAGGTTATTTTTTTTTAAATAAAAATTAGATATATCGTAGCCTAAATTAGATTATGCTATATCCGCTTTTTGTAGAAAATAGAATTTTTTGACGTAAATCAATTTTTTTTTATAATTATACTATTCTATTTACACAAAATAAATTCCAATATAAAGGTTAAAGAAACTATAGAAACTTAATTTTTAAAATTTGGTCTCCCCTAAATTAACAAAAATTGGAGATAGGATAATCTAATTTTCAAGCGACGATATTAATAAATAGAAGGAAAAAATGCATTTGTTCTAATTTTAAGTTAGGTGTTGGGAAAAGTTTAAAATTAAATTATTCGAATAAACCGTCTCAAATTTATTTTTTTTTGCAGTCAATGCTCCTCCAACATGCGGAATTCGTGTAGAAGAGTCTCAAAAAACTACTATCACCAACAATCTGGCACTGCCTTATATTCCTCCAAAAAAGACTGCTTTAAACAACCATCCCCTCAAAAGCCTTAACCATTACCTAACGGTGCCCAATCATCCGTATTCTAGTGCCAATCCTAAAAGCAGCAACATCAGAAGCGTAATGATGAGTGCTCAATCGACCTCCAAACAACCAGGCGGTATTAATAGACTAGCAGGGGTACACCATTATTTTGCTATAACAATATTTATATTTGCCCTTTTATAGACATTATTATAAAATAGTGGCTAAATTTTCTTTCTGAGATGAAACGTTTTAGATTAAAAAAAATATATTTGCGTTTAAAAAAACGCAAAAATAGAACATTTGCCAATTTACGGAAACTATAACTTACCTTGGTCCACTTAGGACCTTTCTAATTTGAGCCCCACGTGATACAACTTATTTATTTTTTCTAAAATAAAATAAAATGAAGCACGTTGCCTCGGTAGCTAGAATGTATGACGCGAAAGTTGCTAATTTAGTGAAAGTAAATAATTTTATTTATTTTTTTTTAAAAAAAACATCGGTTCGGCTAAAGATCAAAATATTAAGACCCATAGGATCCAAAGAATCCCCATCTTGATACATGGTCCCTTCGTAGACACAGTGTTTCCTATTATCTTTGAAAAACTTTCTTTTTTAAAAAAATTAAAGGGAAGATTGTAATTGGAATTAGCCGGAAATTGAATTATAGAACGGTTCCATTTTATATGATTTTCCGAATAATTAATCTGCCATGGCCTGTTTTCGCGACAAAAAGAAATATTTTTTATATGGTTGGCAATTAGTGCTGTTAAAATGCCCGATTTTGGGGTCCGATTTTTCAAAATGGCCAGATTTAGAATATAGCTAAAGGTAATTATTATGTACTCATCGAGATTTGGCAAAAAAAAGATTTCCAAGCATTTTCCGCCAGCTATGAGCAGAATTTTTAGTATCGCATCAATATTATTTTGGTTATAATCTTTATCTTTTTAAACAACATTAGGTCTATTTCTTATATACCTAAAACGATTATTTGTTATTCGATATTCGATTCGGAATTTCGAATCGAATACGAATAATGCAATTATTCGATTAGTATTTTTGTAGGTATAATTTCTAATATAATAATATAAATATATTTATCTTTCTTTCTTTTATAATTGATTTTTTTTTAAATGAAGGGAGGCGTACCAGTGGCTAATTTCAGACACAGGCGGCGCTCAAAATCTGTTAATGACTTGAAATACTTGGAGCATCGACCAAAATATCAAAGCAAAACTAGTAATATTTTACCATTTAATATTTTTTTTTATTTATTTAAAACTTATCCTCCAATAATATAACCGTCCGAAGAAGCGCTAACCAATTAATCTAACACCCCCCTCCCCCACTCAACAATTCTCTTGACACATTTTTTTTAAAAAAAATAAATTATGAGCAAAAATTATTGAAGATCTTAAGGAAAATTGAAATAAATTTGTGATTTCATCTTGAAAAATTTTATTTCCCTAATCACGTGCTTAACCCCCCCCCCCCCCACCCCCTCACCATTTCTTTGGGTATCATTTTATTGGAAATTTTCGGTTGTGTCGTTAAGCAGCTCTATTTAGTCACTTTTTAAGTAAAGATTTTAGTGAGCCAAAATAATGCTAGGCGAATCTAGAGATTTTGTGTTAATAGATGTCCAAACATTTCTACCAGCTGTGAAAAAAAATCTCCTAGCCGGTGTAATATTTTTTTTGGCCAAAATTTTGGAATTAAAGCCGTTATGGTAATAAATAAGTTGATAGATTTGCAAGAAATAAATATGGAAATGTAAAGAAGGGTGTCCTTTACTATCAACCTAGATCTTGCATGAGAGCTGCGGGGATGTGTGTATATTTGTGTTAAGATGGAGGCCAATTGAAAATGTCGAATACTGTACAAAAATGTGAAGGCGCTATATATAAACTTTTTGACGCTATAAAAGATTTTTTTATCGTTTAAGGCGTGTTGAAGGCGTAAAATTTACGAGTGTTTTTATAAAATTACTTAAGCCACATTTTAGAAATAATATGTAAATTTTTATGATTTTAAAATGCACATGATATTACTTTTAAAAATCAATTTTTTAAGTAATAAGAAGAAAAAAAGACTTACGTAAAATGAAATGTTCTTATATAGCGCCATCTATATGTTCTTTATACATTAAAATTTTAGTTCGTTTGCCATTTTTTTTAAAAAAAAATTGAAAAATTAAACTTTTAACTGGACATAAAATGAGGGAGAGAGAATTTGTAGCAAAATCTCTCAAGTAAAATAATTTACAAACCAGTTTAAATTTTCCTTTTTAATCTAACTAGAACATATATGACAGCCTTACAAATTTATGTCAAAATTTTAAGGGGGTCTGGTCAAGATCTCAATTTTCTTGCTCACTTCATATCTTATTAAAACACATATTTTTTTTAAAGACGATGTTCTTAGGCCTAGAGTCAAAAATACGACCACAGCGCATATCTTGCAAAAGAAGGAGCTAAAGAAATGCGACAAATACTTCTTGAATAAGCAAGAACAGGATTCTCAAACTGGGGACCTTCGGACACAAATTTATAAAGTAATTATTACTTTTTTTTTGTTCATTCATTTATTTCGTCTTTTCCTTATTTTATTTTTATTCATTTCTTTTCTTTAATTTTTTCTTCTAATATATTTGATTAAATTTATCTTGTAAATATATATTTTTTAGGGTGATGTCATTGCCACACCATCTGGCGGAAATTCAATTATTTTCGACGATATTGAAGTACACACCCACGAGAAAGTAGAGTCCGACACATCTAATAGCAAGTTTTCAAAAATAAAATTTATTCTAATATGACATCCCCCCTCACCCTCCCCCCCTTCCTCCCCCATTTATTTTTCTAACATAAATTTTTTATTTTAATATTAAATTTATTAATCCAAATTTATAAATTTTTTTTTTAAAAAAACAAAATTTTTTAATGTGGCAACTTATACGAGATTTCTTAACAAATGTTAAAATATTTTATTTTCCTCTGATTTAATTCAAAATTAATTATGTAGGAGGTTAGCAACTAATATAATATTTTAAAAAAAATTAAAGTTTCTACAATAACCCTAAAAGAATTTAATTCTAGTGGTTATTAATACACATAATACGACATCAAAAGTAGCTATTCTATTTTGACGAGACCTGACAAGGTCGAAACCGGTCTACAGCTAGGAATAGTGTTGTTAAGCGGCTCGATTCGAGCCGAATTTTAGAAACGTCTAACCCAAAAATTTTATCCAGAAAAAATATTGCGCTAAGCCTTAAAAATTTTGGTCGAAGATGGCACGAAAGTTTGGACACCTATATTAGCAGAAATCTCGAGGTTTAGGCGATATCTTTTTTTCTGGCTGCTAAAATACTGAGTTGGCCGTTTTTAAAAATCGGCTCAAATCGACCCGTTTAAACGGCACTAATTGATGTGATAATATCGGTTTTTAAATTTTCTGTAAAACTTTTCTAATAAAAATTTAATTTCGAAAGCGAAGCTATGTTGCCCCAAAAAATAAATATAATTTTGACCAATTTACAACGTATTATTTTAATTTAATAAGATGTAAATTAGTTATAATTTATTAATTCATTTTATTTTTAAAAAAAACGTTATCAGGAAAAGGCTTTATCCCGATCTCGACGCACATTGTCACAGGGAAGACACGTTGCAGAAACTTTTGAGTGACCCGGATGGGGAAAGTCATATGATAGATTGGGAAGAGGACAACGAAGGTAGAATATTTTATTTTTTTGGCCATAATTGAGGATTCAAAAATGGTCGGATAGATAGTTTATATATTTTGTGGCAACCTTTAAAAAAATTATGATCGCGGGAAAGTTATTTTGATATTTCAAAAAGAGTTGTAAAAAAATAAAATATTATCAATCTTAACTTTAAAATAAATGTCAATCATTAAAAAGATTACTTCGTTAAATTACCCGGAAATTATTTTGAATTGCAGATAGGATTTTTTTTAACGGATCAATTGGAATGGGTCGGATTATGGAATCAGTAGGAAGAATGATAAATCTACACTCCCCACCCCCTTCTCCCAGGTCATTGTTTAAGTTATAAAGAAGATCTTCCAATTAGATCTTTTTTTACAAAAAGAGGCTACAAATTAGATTAGAAAATATTACTCTTTGGGTTAGGAAGATATGAATTTTGGCTATTTAGATTTATAATATTATAAATCTGGATACCTATATTTAAATATTGCACGATTACTTTTTAAACCATTTTTTTATATAAATTTTGGGAAAACTTGTTTATAAAAAGGAGGTGAAAAACCTAACAAGACGAGAAATTCCAATCCTTCCATCCTGGTTAACAAGAATGACTCAAAATCGAAATCTAAGTAATATCCCTTCCATTTTTATACAAATTAGGGCCGCAAAATTTTTTTTTAAAAAAAATTAAGTCAGATTTCTATTCATCTCTCTTTTTATCATTGCGCATGCGCCATCTTTTTAAGCACGGTATTGGTCGATACAATGGATACCAATTATCATTTTTGGAATAATAATAGTTCAACCTAACCCAAAGAATGTTTAATTGAAGGACATTTTTTTAAATGGGTCAGATGTAGTTAAAATTAAACGAGTATTTGAAATAAGGAATAATAGTTCCAAATTGAACGTTTCAACGCAGCGTTTTAAAACGCATATCAATAATTTAAAATACAAAACGCAAACGTACTCAATTTAAACGAATGCAATTAAAATGCATTGTTTGCGTTTTATAACGCAGCGTTGAAATGTTCAATTTGTGCGCACTTTAAGGTTTGTGGTTAGAGAGATATTGGGTTAGGGCTAAGATAGTTCAAAAAATATTTAACGTTTTTATTAATAACCCGTCAAATCTGACAAACCATGAGATTATTAAATGGCCAATATAAATTTTAACGAATCAGCTGTTGTAACAGAAATTTCGTGATAACCCATTTTTGGGTATCTATTATAACGGAATTGTCGGTTGATACCATGCGTCGTTCTCCCACTTTTTTTTATTCTGAGATTATTAAATGGCCAATATAAATTTTAACGAATCAGCTGTTGTAACAGAAATTTCGTGATAACCCGTTTTTCGGGTATCTATTATAACGGAATTGTCGGTTGGTACCATGCGTCGTTCTCCCACTTTTTTTTATTCTCCCACTTTGTATCTAAGTTTTGAAACCTAAATCCGAAAAAATTTTCCGATTTCTATAATTTTTTTAAAACAAGTTGAAGTTCCGGGTTTTAATTTCTCACCGTTCATGGTGTTTTGATTCCAATCTTTGCTTGCCATCTTTCCTTTTCCTACTCCCCCCCCCCACCCTAACCTTACTCCTTATACATATTTTAAACCTTTATAGCATTTTTAAACTTTATTATAATTTGGTTTTAAATAGAACCTACAGGAATATATCGTTCGCCTAAGTATGTAACAAGGCTGTTTTATTAAATCGAAACGGCTGTAATGTTGAATTGGGAAATATTTATAGACTTAATTCCATAATCGTTTTATTTTTTCCAAAAAAAAACTTGTTCATAATTGCAGAATTAATTTATTATTATCGTATATTTAAACTTTTTGTATGAGAAGAGAAATTAAAAAATATAGGTAATATTATTTTGTTTTAGTTCCTAGACCGCAGAAAACTCGTTTCTAAAGCATCCATCTCTGACAACAACCAAAAAATTATAAATGAATAAACACACGTATTTACCCCTTCAAGCCATTTTTTTTTTAAAAAAATTTCCTTTATATATAATTGTAATTTACTTTGTAATATTTTATTATAAATTATAATATAAAATTTTTTGCTCGTAAGCTAAAATACCTTCCCCATTGTCGCCATTTGAAATTATCCAAGCATTTCACCTTGGAAAAAGATAGAATCTTAAGGATTCGCGACTTTTGAGGATATTTAATAAAAATTTATTAATATTTAAAAAAAATCTCATTAAATCATACCATTCAAAAAAATCATTTTTATTTTATATTACAAATATTAGATATATTATCTATGTATTATTATTTTATGTAAACCTTCAATATAGATTTATTTATTTTTTATCATTTGCCGCAAATAGATATATCTTTAGATTATTATTCAATATTCTCCTTACTCCCCCTCCCCCCCCCCCCATTTTATGATAGAAAACGCTTGCTAATTTTATTGATTATGAAGATAATAAATATAATGCCATTTTATTGTGTAATAAATTCTAATAATACGAATATATTTTTTTCTAAATTTGTTTTCTTATATAATAAGTATATAGCTTAAAAAAATATATATATATTAATATTGCATGCGTTGATTTGGTTACATTTGTCTATCTAAAGATAATTTGTTTAAAGGGTTGTATATCATTTCAGCCAAACTTAATATTTATTTATAGCGAATACTATTATACACAAAGACTATGGCGTTTTTTATTAATGAATATTTTCACCAGCGGACTCTTATGAGCGATATAACAGCCAAACCATCAATAATCGTGAAAATTTTATTAACGGAGTCGTTATCAAAAAAGCTATCAAAGACCTTCATGGGCGGCCAGTCCACAGGCTCATACCCGTTTATTTTTATTAAATACAATAAATTAAATTGACAGGCGTTTTCCCCCGGGCTTGGGAAACTTTTTTATAAATAAGCTTGGACCTGGCTTAAGTATTAGATATGGGCCAGTCTTAGCTCTAATAAAAAATTTTACTGTGGGCCTGAGCCAGACTTGATTTAAAAAATTAAGGCCCATAAGGTCTCCGTATACTATACTTATGACTAATGTTTAAATGGGTCGATTTTTTGGATATCGAAGTTTACATAATAATATTTAGGCTTACTTTTTAATTTCGACCGTTTTTAAAAATAGACCCAATAGGAAGACAATAATAGCAAAAACTCTTTCCCTAATTTATTATCGTGAAAACAATACCACGATAACCGTGAATACTATCTAATATATTTTTGAGACCATATTAAGTAGGGGATACCGGGGTTATATTGTCCATAAAAAATTGAGAGGCTGTGAAAAGGAGGAGAAATAATTTATCAAAATAATTTTGATGTTATTTTATTCTTTATATAATTATCTACGGTAGAAATTAATATCTAATAAAAAAATATTATATATTTTTTTAAATTTTAAAAAAATGAAAATTTTTGAGTCATGAAAAAGAGACGGGGGACGTATTATCCTTTTGTGGGGCATGTTTTAGACTATCATTTTCTAAGCATTTTATTCATTTTTTTTCATACAAAAATCATAACAAACATATAATATTAACATAATACAACACATTTATTACATATAAAAAATGGATTAAAATCACAACATGATCCAGCCCATAAATGACAATTACGGCATTGGAACCAATCTTCATTATGGTGGTGAGTTTGATAGTTTTTGTGGCACACTGAACAAAATTCTTTTTTGCCAGCATTCATATTTAAACTTTTTTTATTATTGGTTTGATTTTTTTTCTAGATTATTAGTCATAGATCTGGCTATTTTTCTGTAAGGTGAAGAGGTTAAAATGGCTGAAGTCATTTGATTACATGTTGTTTTTTTAAATATTGTTGGATGGGGACTAATAATTTCTGGAGCAAAATCTTTTTCCACGTGAGAAGATGATGGAACAGGACTATCACTGACAGATGGTTGCGAAATAATTTCAGATAAATTTAAATTCTCATTTAGGATCGTTATTCTTATTATAATATAAAGGATTAGAATTTTCGTCATTAAAAATTAAAGTATTTAGGGGCCATATACCTGAGGATTCAAAACCCTTTTGGATATTTGAAGCTGAGGTGGCTTTTGGAAGGACATCCTTTACTACTCTAGGGATATCATATTTACTAAAACTTTTCCCTGGATGCATTCTAATCCAAGCATCCAAGGCACTGTTGTAATATTTTTTTAGAGGTTCAAAAACAGTTCTATCCAATGTGGCTATACTTGTAGCCTCTGGTGTTCTCAAAGAAATAGTTGGATTTCTTTTAATAAATGCTCCAAACCAGTCTTCACCAGCTGATTGAGTTATTTCCTAAGATTTTGGTACTTGTAAACTATACCTCTTGGCCATTTGATAAGCTAAAACTCTAACCTAAATTTAAACATAAGACATTAAATTATTTATATATTAAGGCAATTTAATTAAAATCCTAATTCTTAAATTTTATTCTGAATTTATTTTATAATTAATATAATAAAATATATCATACATAATTAAACCTCTAATGTATAGGTAAGAACCAAAATATGTTTTAATGCATGATATAATTTATGCTGAATCAATGAATAAATCATTTTAAAATTAATATACATGCAGCATCGTTTTATTTTAAATATATATCATACACACATAATTAAATCTTTAATATATAGGTAAGATATGATTTAATGCATGATATAATATATATAATGCTACAATTAATAAATCATTTTAAAATTAATATTAATACATGGCAGCATCATTTTAAAATTAATATATATACATGGCAGCATCATTTTATTTACATATATATCATACACACTTAAATAAATATCATTCTAATGTATAAGTTAAATTCTTACTTTAAAGTATTTTATAACATATAATGTTAATAATTTTAAAAAAATTTCTCAAGTTTATTATTATTTAACTAAAGAAATACCATGGCATAAATTTAAAGATTATAAAAAAATTCTGCTGACCATAACAACTATTCATTATTGTATATATTATAATGTACAATAATATTATCATCTATTGTGTATTAGATAAAATAAATTACTGTCGTTATTTTCTAATTAAAAAATAAAATTTTCAATTTAAATTTTTTTTTACTCTAAGACGCCATTTAGCGGATAAAATATTATCATTTTAACTTTTATAAAAATGAAATTTAGGTTTATACTTAATATAATTTTTTAAGAGTTGTGAGTGTTAGAGAAGGACTACGAGGTTGAGAATAATTGATTTATTTAAAGATATTATATAATGAAATCTAATTAATGTAAAATACAATCGATTAATAAATTTATTTTAAATATAAAATTAACAATTTCCTATATAACAAAAAACATAATGCTGTTTTTTTTATTTTTTCATGCTTTATATATCTATGCATAAAATATTTACAAAATATAATTTTTATACTTGTTCATATAACAATTCCTAAAATGTAATACTTTTCTTAATTTTGAATAATCATCTATGCTTGAACTTATCTCTTATCAAATATATTTTCTTTTTTGCTTAAATATTAAAAATAATCATTTGCATAATACAACATAATCTAGTTGCAATATTAATTAAAATATTAATAACTCGCTCATAATATGCTGAAAAAGATTGAATATAAAGTATATTTTAAACTTTAAATTTGTACTCTTCAGCATCATCTAATTTGAAATATTTAATTTTGTTACATATTTGTAACAAATTGTGTTCTATAATGACTTTTATTTTTGTTATTATTCAATTTACACTACCGGCCATAATTGACTGCCCACCTTGAATTTTTACATAAAAAAATTAATAACTTAAATTTTTTTTAACTTATTTGGGTAAAAGCGAATTGTTTAATTAATTTAAGATGTCTAGACATGTTTATAAATAAAAAACTCGGAATTTCTATAAATCTTTATAAAATTTTAGCCTTTGAAAATAACATGTCAAAAATGACCAATTTGGTAAAATAGGGTTCATTACTTTTTCTCAGCAAAAATTTTAAGTTGCTTATTATTTTTGGAAAAAAGTCAATAATCACATTCTAAATCTGCTTATTAATACCTATTTTTAATTATTATAAAAAAAATTCCTAGATTTTTTTTTTGCTTTTAAATCATTGTTTAAAGAAACTTTAAAGTTTCTTAGCACCGGAATTAAATTTATTTCCTCATTACCATTTATTTTTCAAACTCTTTATAGCCCATGAAATAAATGATTATAAAGACACGTTTTAATAATTTAGTTGATTGTTAGCCACTTTCTGAGGTTTTAAAACAATAATATCATACATATTAAAATTAAACATCTAATAGTTAAATCTAAAGCTTAAGAGCCGATTTTTAAAAACGATTGCAAAGCCTTAAGATTTTGCTCATAAGGTGGCACAAAGATTCTAACATCTTATAACGAAATCTAGAGGCTTTAGCTGGCTTATCTTATTGAGTTGTCGGTTTTTAACAAATCGGCTCAAATCGAGCCGTTTAAATATATAAAATAAAAACCTACCACTATTCGTTTCATATTTTACAGCAGCAAATAAATACGGATAATGGAATTATTCGATTTTTAAAATTTTCGGATCAAACACGGAAACTTTTATTTTTTAAAAAAAAATATTAGTTGTTTCGTGGCAATAATTGGTGTTGTGAAACGGCTCGTTTTGAGCCGATTTTAAAAAAAACGGCAAACTCAGTAATTTCATCCAGAATAGTATTACGTGCTAGCCCGACGATTTTAGTTTGTGGAAGGAACAATGGTTTAGACATCTATTCAGCGTAATCTCGAGGTTTAGGATAATATTTTTTCTGGCTAAAATATTGAGTTGGCCCTTTTTAAAAAAATCGGCTCAAAACGAGCCGATAACGTAATTATTTTGTGAGACTTGAAAATTATTTTTTTTTAAAATTTTTCTAAAAATTATAATTTTCAAAATTATTCGTAACGAACTCCTTCCAAAATATTCTTTTTAAAAAAAAAAAATGGAAAAGAA